TAAAAAAAAATGTGCATCCCTATGTTCACTGCAACATTATTTACACTGGCCAATATATGGAAGCAACCCAAGTGCCCATCAATAGATGAGTGGATAAAGATGTGGTAGGTATGTACCCACACACACACACACACACACACACACACACACAATGGAATATTACTCAGCCATAACAGAGAATGAAATCTTGCCATGTGAAATATATATGGACCTAAAGGGTATTGTGCTATGTGAAATAAGTCAGCCACAGAAAGACAAATACTGTATAATTTCCCCATATATGTGGAATCTTAAAAATAAATGAACAAACATAACAAAAAAGAAATAGAGTCATAGATACAGGTAACAAATAGGTGGTTACCAGAAGGGAGGGTAGTGAGAGGAGGAAAAGAAACAAGTGAGGGAGATTAAAAAGTACAAACTTTCAGTTGCAAAATAAATCAATCATGGGTATGAAATATATAGTGTGGGGAGTATAGTCTAGTAACTATGTAATATCTTTTTGTGGTGACGTATCATAACTGGACTTACTGTGGTGACCATTTTGAAATGCACAGAAATATCAAATCACTATGTTGTGTACCAGGAATTAACATATGTTGTAGGTCAATTATACTTCAAAAACAAATTTATAGAAAAAGAGATCAGATCTGTGGTTATCAGAGGCAGGGGGTGGGGGATAGTGGAATTGGATGAAGACAGTCAAAAAGTAGGAACTCCAGTTATAAGGTAAGTAAGTACTGGGGATGTAATGTATAACATGACAAATATAATTAACACTGCTATAGGTTATATATGAAAGCTGTTAAGGAAATAAATCCTAAGAATTCTCATAACAAGAAAAAATAATTTTCTATTTCTTTAATTCTGTATCTGTATGAAATGATGGATGTTCACCAAACTTATTGTGATAATCAATAGATGAATGGATAAAGATGAATGATGCACGCAAATCCACTATGCTGTATACCTTAAACAGTGCTGTACATTAAGTACACCTCAATAAAACAGGAAGAAAAAATAATTAAAAAATAATAAAATAAAACTCCAGATTATCAGAAATCAGAAACAATGCACACAAGAAACAGTTTTACTAATATCCACAGACCCTTAATCTTGCTTAGAAATATTAACATTATGTTTTTTCTTTCTGGATTTCTTTGCAGAAACCTAATTTGTTCACCTTGAAGAATGTTTTGTATTATTCTGACTAACTTCTATTAGGCTAAAAATCCACGTTAAAAAAATGTTTTTGTTGTTAAAAAAAATTGTACAATAAATTCATTATGTAACCAGCTTTAAAAAAAAGGTAATAACAAGTGTTAGGATACGAAAAAATTGAAAACGTCACACAATGCTGATGGGAATATAAAATGATAAGGCTGCTGTGGAAAGCAGTTTGGTGGCTCTTCAAAAAGTTACACATAGAATTAAACATCATCCAGTAACTACTCTTAGGTACTCAAAAGAAATAAAAACATGTTTTCAAACAAAAACTTGTACATTTCCAACAGCATCATTCATAATAGGCAAAAAATTGGAAACACTCATCCCTGCCATAAATTGACAAATGGATAAACAAAATGTGATATATCTATACAACACAACATTAATCAATCATAAAAAGAAATTCAGGGGGTAGGGTATAGCTCAAGTGGTAGAGCGCATGCTTAGCACACACAAGGTCCTGGGTTCAATCCCCAGTGCCGCCTCTAAAAATAAATAAATAATTAAACCTAACTACCTCTCCCCCTAAATAACAATAATAAATAAAATTAAAAAAAAAAATCAGCTCTAATAGATGCTACAACATGGATGAACCTTAAAAAACATGCTTAGTGAAATGAGACAGAAAGAAGAGGTCAAATATTGTCTGATTTAATTTATATGAAATGCCCAGAGAAAGGAAATTGATACAAACAGAAAGCGATTGGTGGATGAAAAGAACTGGGGTTAAGGGAATGGGGAATGACTGTTTAATGGGTACAGGGTTTCTTTTGGCCACAGTGAAGATGCTTGGGAACTAGATAGTGGTGACAGCTGCATACGTCAAGAAAAAAAGTTAACCCACAAAGTCAATCTACCAACAGACTGCAAAATCCCATCCATGTTAAAGAGCACAATCCACTTTCAGAATGGCCCAGATCCTCTCAAATTTTAATGGACATATGCATCACCAGGTAATCTTGTTAAAATAGATTATGTATGATTCAGTTGTTCACTGGGGTGGGGCCTAAGATTCTGCCTAACAAGTTCCGAGGTAATACTCATATATCTGGTCCAGGACAATATTTTGAGTAGCAAGACTCCAGAAACATGGTTTTTAAATACATTTTAGAAGAAAAGACATCAAAAAATTTAAAACAGAGATAATATGCATATTTATTTACAAATTAGATATGTGAACTACTGTACTGATACAGAACACACATTAATAATAATGTGGAAAACATCCACTTATATCCAAGAGGTAGTAACAGGGACTGGCTTTACCTATCCACCTGAAATAACTATAAAATAGAACAAAATACACGAAACAATGATTTCAGACACAGGATACAAGCATAGTAATCCCTGAGAAGGGCGAAGCAAATAAGGCAATCCCAGATTATTGTCCATAGAGTTTCCAAGCCACAGTTCCAGGAGGTGGACCCTAGATGTTTCTCTAAGTTAAGGAGACAGAGGTGGGAGTCTGGGGAGGCCAAGGCAGCTAGACTGCAATGCAAAATAACCAGACAGGAGAGAGCTGGACAGAGGAAGAGCTCTGAATATCTGTCGAGCATTTCCATGACTTCAAGTAAGTAATAATCAATGAATAAATGTTAGGAAACTACCTGAGGCCAGGGGAAAGAAAACCAATTAAATGGAGCAGAGCTGAAAATGAGCAAATCTTACACAGGGCTGGAAGTAATTCCGGTTCCCACCAGCCACAGTGGAAAAACTCATAATTCACAAGATATGGACTAGGATATCAACAAGCATATTAATTAAACAGTGGGGAAAATTAGCCAACTAAATACTGCATTTAATCATCATAAAAGCAACCCTTGAAAGGACTGTATTTTTTCCCCCAAGTAACAATATTCCAGAACAAAGCTCAAGAGTATTAAGACAAATGAAAAACATTCATCACCCAAGAAGGTAAAATTCACAATATGTTGGCAAGTAATTAAAAAAAAAAACCAGACAAACAAAGGAGGAGGAAAATACACCTTACAATAAGGAGTAAGAAAATAGATAAATAAAAATATATCCAAAAATGAGACAGAAGATAGAATTAAGTAAACAAAGACACTGAAAGCTACTACTTTAGTGTAACTATATTCTATATATTCAAGAAGGTTGAAGATTAAACAGTATATTAATAAACATGGAAAATATTAAAAGACCCAAATCAAACTTTGAGAGATAAAAAATTCAAATCTGAGATGAAATACACTGGACAAGATTAAAAGTGGATTAAACACTGCAGAAAAAAAGATGAATAAACTTAAAGTCTTTTAAGAAATGAAATACAGAGAATAATCACCAAAATGAAACACAGAGAATCACCACCAAAAAATAAATAGAGTAGGCTGTGAAACAACTTAAAGTGGCAGGTTTTAGTAAAACTGAAGTCCCCAAAGTACTAGAAGAGGGAATATCTGAAGTAAAAGGGGCTGAAATTTTTTCAGTTTGATAAAAACTAATAAACCTATGAAACTGAGAAGCCCAACAAACTCCAGCATAAGAAACATGAAAAGAACTATGTAAAGTCACATCATAACTAAACAGCCAAAAGTCAGTGATAAAATTAAAAATGGCCAAACATCCCATCAAAGCAGTATGCAAAGAAGAAGGAAAATACTAACTTACAATGAAAGGAAAAGTCAATTAATTAAAACAGATGAGGAGAAAACACAGATGAAAGAAGTAGTTACAAGAACATTTAAAACGTTTTTAAACTGTATTCTATATGTTCAAGAAGGTGGAGGAAAGTTAAGTAGACACATAGAAAACATTAAATACACCCACATACAAATGAGCTTCTAGCAAAGAAAACTATAATGTCTGAGATGAAAAATGCACTGAATGGAATTAATGACAAATTAGGTAATGCAGAAGCAAAGATTAATGAACCTGAAGATACGGCATTAGGAAACACCTGAGATGAAATATACAAAAAATGAACATAGCCTCAGTGAATCATGATACAATTTTAAATAAAAATATGGCTCAAACATAACATTAAAACATATCAAATTATATCAAAAACATTTCCCAAACATATCAAATCAAACATAATAAAATTTGTAATACAACTATAGCAATATTAAAGGGAAATTTACAGCACTAAATAACTGTATTAGAAAACAAAAGGTCTCAAATCAATGACCTCATCTTTCTGCATTTAAAAAACTAGAAAAAGAGCAAACGAAGCCCAAAGTAGAAGGAAATAGTCTAAATTTACTTACAGAAAAAAAAAGAAAAAATACAATCTTTTAGAGTAAGATAAGAAACACTTATTTTAAAATGTCATTTTGAACTATACAGGAAGAGAGTAAGAAGGAACAGAGGAAAAATACAAAACAGTCAGAAAACAATTAAAATGGCAGTAAGTACACATCTATCAACAATAAAATGTAAAGGGACTAAATTCTCCAATCAAAAGACATAGAGTGGCTGAATGGATTAAAAAAACAAGACCTAGCTATATGGTGCCTACAAGAGGCTCACTCTAAAGGACACACAGAATGAAAGTAAAGGGATAGAAAAGGACATTCCACCCAAATGGAAACTAAAATAAAGCAGTGGTAGATACATTTACATATAAACAAAACAGACTTTAAAACAAAGACTGTAACAAGAGACAAAGAAGGGCATCACATAATGATAAAGGGGTCAGTCCAATAAGAGGATATAACATCTGTAAATATTTATGCACCCAACATAGGAGCACCCAAATGTATAAAGCAAGTATTAACAGTCGTAAAATTTCATTTAACAAGAAAGCTACTTACTCAGCGCATACAGTTTTTCCTGCTGATGTATGTGCAGATACTAAAACAGACTGATTATTATCAACACACTGAATGGCTTCTCTTTGAAAAGCATCAAGAATGAATGGGTATTCCTATAAAAACAAAATAATATCTGCATGAAGATACCTAGCCAGATCAGATCACACTTAAAATCAAGAGATACTATCCCTAGAAGCATTCTGGGAGCATTTCTTTATGAGTCTATTTAGGAAATACGCTACCCACTAACAAAAATTAGGAAGATTAAAAAAAAAATCTTTAACCAGACAGCATAAGTTATTTCTGCAGTCTAATCTTTCAATCATTATATTAGGCTTACATATATATATCATATTTATTACAACACAATAATCATTACCATTTATCAAGAATATGCTTTATGGTAATCACTGTGCAACACATTTCCAACATATTATTATTAATCTTCACAGCAACCCCTAATGTAGGTATTATTTTAGGTATTATTTCCTTTCACAGATGGAAACTCTAAGGCTCTGAAAAGTCAACTCCTCAAAGAAGTTCACTCAGCAGAGGCAGAATAATACATCTATTAGACTTTAAGAGCTCATGCTTACTCTATCATACTGACTTTTTTACTTAGAGAAAATGACTTGAAACATTTATATTAATCATTTACGGTCTGTCAGGGCCTCAAAATCCACCTAAGTTTAAGTTTCATCAGACGCTTTAAGCTAAACTACAAAAACTATGTGCAAAACTTATTGTACACATGCATTTTTTTTTGTAGAGAAAGACTGATAATTTTCATTAGATTCTTTAGAAAGGTTGAGAATCATTTTAATTTTTAAAAATCTTATATGATGCTTGGTTTTCAGCATGGTAAGTTTATTAATTTGGTTCTCACCATATTTGATTACAGGTGGCTTCTTCTTAGTACATATACATTGAGAAAGTATAAAAATCTCATTTGAAGGAGTTAAAGATTTTTAAGGAAAAGAGACTCAAAAAACTGTACAAACTGTACTGCCTCAAATACAGACCTTTGCAGCTTTTCCAACTCGAGGTTTAAGTGGTAGATAATCTTCATCTGCAGGAAGAGCAACCTGATGTTTAAAAAAAAAAATCTATTTACTATTTGAGAATTGATGCATCCAGCATTCCATAATTAATGATGATTTAAAAAATAGAAGTGATAAACTAGAGTGTTTCAGACAGTCTTACAGTCTAGACACTGTAAAAATAAATAACTACATTTAGAAACAAAGCAAAATGCAAAAAGCCAGAACATTCAAAAAACTTCTACTAGCGTTTATCTAATAGTAACATAATTAAACCTTTTAACACTACCTCCCTGTATAGATTGTTTATTGAGGTTTAGGACTTATCTCAGCTATCTTTGTATTTTCTACATCTAATATATTACTTGATATTAATAAGTGCTCAAAAAAGCTGAATGAACATAAAAAGGGATGTCACTATATGAAAGAAAACTATATGGAATAAAATGATACTCTTATTTCCTGGAACAGGAAACTAATTTTTCTCTAGTGAAGATTAACAACTAGAGAGCAATTCACAATATATCTAAATTTCTAAGACTTAAGCCAGTTAGTATATAAATAATGAACAGAGGCAAAGTAAAGTACACACAGAAATTAGAAATAATTTCTAAGAGCAAAACTTCAGCAAACAAAAATGAGATAAGATTAGCTGTTTTGGGGGAAAGTGTAGCTCAAGTGGCAGAGCTCATACTTTGCATACGCGAGGTCCTGGGTTCAATACCCAGTATCTCCTCCAATAATACCTAATTTACTACCTAAAAACACCTAAATACCTAAAATACTAACTACCTCCCCCTAAAAAAAAACCAACAACAACAAGAACAACAAGATTAGCTGTCTTAGAAATAATGAAAGACTTCAGTAAATTTGCAATTCATTTACAATCAAGATGATGCCCTTAAGGAGTCAGACAAATAGAAAACCAGCAGAGTAACAGAGTCAAACAGACTTAGCAATTAGTTACTGGTGATTTTTGCCAGAGCAGTTTGACAGAAATGGAGAGAGAAGAAATCTAATTGTGGTAGGTTAAAAGATGAATGGAAAGTTAGCAGGGATGTTCCAAGCAGAGCACTCAATATCAACTCTGAAAAGAAAGAGACCATATCTTTTCTGTTTATCTCTTTATACTCAGTAAATAATAAAATGTACCTGGCACCCAAAAGATACATGCTGAATGAATGACTACAATGAGGAGGAAGAAAAACAATACAGTGGCTAAAAAGCAACCTACAAAAAGAGAAACTTTTGAATATGCATATGTTAGGAAAGGGCAAACAGAGAAAAGGAGACACTAGAAACACTTAAGGGAAAGTGGAATGATCCAAGTCTTGTGTAGGCAGGATAAGATACAACCAAGAACAGTGACAGAGAAACCGTCCTTAGCCTAAACAAGGCAGAACCTTTTCCTCTGAGTGGATGTAACTCCAACTTGATATCCTCAAACCTCTAGATGAAGTAAAAGATAAAGTTACTTGCTAAAAAAGTGAGAGGAGATAACAGAATGGAGGGCTTGAGGATAATCATGAAGGAAGACAGAACTTTTGACCTCTTGAGAGCAAAATTGGGTGTTTGGGGGATTTTTGCCATCATTTTAAGACAACAGCATCAAATAGGGTCTAATATAAGCATTAAATGATCACATGGATATTATACTTGCCAAACTAAGTGCTATTCTAAAGGAAGATAAAGAACTTTCAAGCAGAAAAAGTTATTTTTAAAAATAAGGTTCCAGACACTGTGAACTCATCCACAGAACAGAAATAAACAGACATAGTAAACAATCTTATGGTTACTGAGGAAAGGGAGTGGGAAGGGATAAATTTGGGATATGCACATGTTAGCTACTATATATAAAAATAGATTTTAAAAAAGTTTCTTCTGTATAGCACAGAGAACTATATTCAATATCTTGTAATAACCTTTAAAGAAAAAGAATATGAAAACAAATATATGTATGTATATGTATGACTGGAACATTGTGCTATACACCAGAAATTGACACACTGTAACTGACTGTACTTCAACTAAAAGAAAATTTTTTAAATAAAATATAAGGTTCTAAGTCTACATTAAAAGCAATTTTTGTTAATTTGGAATTACTCTGCTTTTTAATAAGATTTCCCAATTACCAGTAACAATAACTTTTAAGGTTACATGGTAAAGACAGGACTTTAATAGAAAAAACTAGTATTATAGTTTCCTTATGTCCCTACGTTTATAAACTCTCACTGATAAGCAATTACACAAACTATCAGTGACCACCATCTTGTGGCAGAACAATGAAACTACAATATATCAGTCATCAGAGCAATATCTGAAAAAGACCGTGACCTAAAAACATCATTGCTACATGACTTTAGGAGCATGGGAACATAAACATCTACTCTGTGCTGGGTACTTTACCTAATTTTATTACATAATCTTCACAACCATCCTATGATGTAAATCCCATTATTTCAAATTAACAAATTAAAAAACCAATGTCAAAGAGGTTAAGAAATTTATCCAAGACTACAGTTAGGAAAAGTGCTGAGCCAGGATCTAAGCTGAGGTTTGATTACAAAGCCCCAGCTCCTTCCACTATACTACGTGCATCTCACAGAAACTACTTATTGCTTCCAAAGCTCTTAAGGACAAACTGCCTGTTGAGTGTCATACTAGATAGTTCAAATCAAAATCCCGTTTATAACACCAATTTACTATATACTGTTTGTGCTTACCTCATGTGTACACCCCTCAACAGTTTCAACTGATTGTACCTTGACCCTGGGCATCAAGTCTGCCAAACTTAAAAAAAAAAGAAGTTTAAATTACACTAAAATAAATTACTGAGAATTAGATACGCCGAGAATTCAAAATGGTCAGTTAGCATCTTTTATTACAAATACGAAACAAACAGACTCCAAGTGGATAATTCAAAGAATTATGTCAGCTTAGTTTCACTATTTTGAATAAAGTACCTCTCCAACACATTTTCACTACTTCAAAACAGTAAGCTGTTTATTAAAACCATTACATGATAGGAAGTATAAAATAAACTACCCTAGTACAAATTTTTCTATAATCCATAGAAGTGCTCCCTATTCGCATCAAAATCCTAAATTACATTTATTTAGGTTCTCTGTTTGGACTCTGAAGGAACATGACTGTGGATAAGCTGAGACAAAACAGATGAATTTCTGCACTAGATTCTTTATTCTCTTATTGATTATACTTTCGATTTTTACTTTAAATCAATAACCATACTTTGGATAAAACCCAAGGGTTACTATAGTAAGCAACAATGATTTTAAATTGTCAATATTATTTTGTAACCTGTTCCATTAGCTTGGACAAATGGTGCATCTTAAACATCACAGTGACATATCTACCACCAGTTACAGTAGCTACTTTTGCTAGCTACAACAGCTAACTGGTTAAAAAAAAAAAGGAATAAATTCTTCCTCCTAGTGCCAAGCTAGAATATGGCAAAGAAGGGAAAAGCAGTTTTGACCATCACTACAATAGGAACCAGGTCAACCTAAGAAATGGGCATGAATTTCCAGAAAGTTCCAACTTTCAAAATCAGAGAGATACCAGCTATTTCAGACACAGATATTTACGGGTCTCCCTGACTCTTGAGATTTATAACCACTCTACTGCTACATGCAATAGTGAAAATCTAATTCCTCCTAATGTTCCTTCTCACTTATTCCTTCCATTGGATCAGTTTCATTCTTTCCTTTTATCCCACTCTTCTAGTGATCTTCTTCTTGGGACATTAACAAATAAAGGAAATGTGTCATCTCTTTTTTAAAAAAATCAGGCTTCAAGATTCTTTATAAAATTGGATTCTAAAGTACTAAAAGATTAATCTTTTCTATATTGTTTTCCATTTCCTCAAACTTAAATAAATGTTCTACATTTATGTTTGAATGAGTATAAATAAGATAAAGAATATTTATCTCCATTTCTCTAATTCAGCAAATACTTTAACTATATAACACTATATAAGCAATTTTCAAAACTTCAGGCAACCACCTAACTTAAGAGTTACTAATATTTACCTTAAGTCTTCCGTTACTGACTCTTCTACCCTGGATTTCTTTCCAAAAAAGGGTTCATCTGTGCCCTCGAAGTCTGCATCTCTCTTGGTTTTTCCAATGTTAGTTGACTCAGATTGTAGTTTACCATCAAAGTGTTTTCTGAAAAGTAGACAGTTTAGAATGAATTCCACAGTATCACTTCTTCCTGGTGACTCCATAAAATATTATTCTAAATATAATATACACTCTTAACAGAAAAACGCATATAAAGAGATGTTACAAATCAAATTGGTTAAAGCTCAGGATATCGTAATCTCAACTAATGAAACTGAGCACTACTCCTTTCTCATTTTATATTTCCTTGGAAATTGTTTTAAAAATATTCTGCAACCCACGTTAACATAACTATTAACATAATACTCTTAAAATTGTGAAATATGGTTAGACATTTACATGTGCTCCTTTAATAAACATTTAATGCTTTCTCTAATGACATGACATTACTATTTGAGAGAAAATTGTTTTGTGTGGTTGAATTCACTGGTTGAAAGTAATGATAAATGGTGCTTCGTGGACTGGATAGCCAAAGGGGAATTCAATCTGACCCCTACCCTCATCATACACAAAAATCAATATGGATATTAGATATAATTGTGAAAGACAAAAACAAGAAAGCCTCAAGAAAATAAAATGAGAAAATTATCTTTGTTTTATTAAACATGACATACAATTATCAACCAAAAAGTTAAGTTTGACAAATTGGACTATACTAAAACTAAGAAACTAAGAATTTCTGAAGATTGAAACTAAGAATTTCTGTAGATTGAAAACAGATTCACAGACATAGAAGACAAACTTATGGTTACCAAAAAGGAAAAAGGGGATGTGGGGGACAGGGATAAATAAGGATTTGGGGATTAACTGATATACACTACTATATATAAATAAACAAGAACCTACTGTATAGCATAGGGAACTATATTCAATATTTTGTAACAATCTATAATGGAAAAGAATCTGAAAATTATAAATATATATATAACTGAATCATTTTGCTGTACACCTGAAACTAACATTTCAACAATTATAACAACATTGTAAATCAACAATACTTCAACTTAAAAAAAATATTAAAAGAAAGTTTTTATGTGAATCAAAAGGTACCTTTAGGGGAGTAAGGAGTGGGAGAAAACACACATTTAACTCACAAAAGGCATACATTTCTAAAATACTGGAGGTAAAGGCTACAAATTAAAAAAAAAGACAAAACAATTTAAAAATGAGTAAAAGACTTGAACAGGCACTTTAAAAGATATATTCAAATGGTCAATAAGCATTTGGAAAGGAACTCAAAAACCATTAATTATGAAAATGTAAATGAAAGCAGACTATACGAGATCAGTGGATCTTAAATTTTTGATCTCAGAATCCTTTTCCAGTCTAAAAATTATTGAAAATTCCAATGAATTTTATGTAGTTCCATTATTGATACCTACCATATTAAACATTAAAATTGAAAACAATTTTAATTTACTTACCCATTTAAAAATGGCAATAATAAAACTATTAGAAGTTAACATAAATTAACACTTCCGATTAAAAATAGTACTTTACAAAAATAATTTTTTAATGAGAAGAGTGGCATTGTTTTATATTTTTGCAAGACTTTTTAATGTGGCTTCACAAAGGGCAGCTGGACTCTCATATGTTTCTACATTCAACTTGTTGTGATACACTTTTTAGCTGAAGTATATGAAGAAAAATCCAGTCTCAAACAGACATACAGCTGAAAAAAAGCAGACTTTTCAGATAATTGTGAATACTCCTCTAATTCCACAACAAAATTCAATCATACTTTGAGAAGTACTGCTAGAGGTACAGTCACGAATTTTACAAACATGTTGAGCAAAAGCCAGACATAAAAAAAATATTGTGTTTGAATCTATTTACATTATATTTACAAACAGAAAAAAACTAACATACGTGGGTCATCAGACTGGTCACTGTTCTGGAGAAAAACAAGATTTTATGCAATATTCTATTTTTTTGTCCTGAATGACGGTAACATTGGCATGTTCATGCTATAAAAATTCATCCTATGACTTTCCCACTTTTCTTTATATGTTTTATTTCAATAGACATTTTTTAAAAAGAGTAACAGATAGTAGTATTGATCTATATGTTTGAACACTTCCATAATGAAATTTATTTTTTGATGTTTAGCAAAACCTGAAATTTGTAAATCCTCTCATTACCAATTTAGTGAAATAGATATTCATATTTGTTCCATATTACTTACATTACTCCTTTGGACAAGCCATCAATACCCTTGGGCCTCAGTAAAATAAGACATTTGGATGATAAATAAGATCCCTCTAATTCTAAAATTTTATTATTCTACGTCTGAATTAGTAAGCATCAACCAAATTATGGTAATTAAAACCTGCGAGGAGTCAGTGACAACTATAAAACAAAGAAACATATAGTTCCTATACCTCTGAGAAGCTTTAAACCTGAATTAATGATAGAATACTTTCCATTAGAAGACCTCTATCATTCTTTAATACTGTATTCAACTGTATCCTTATCTAAACAACTGAACCTGAACCTAATCAAGTCTCTACATCGGCGCTATCCAAGATATATACATGCCAACTACCTATGTGATTTTAAATTTATAGTAACATTAAAATAGTTTAAAAAGAAACTAATTTTAATATATTTCATTTAGCCTAAAACATAAAATATTATTTCAGCATATCATCAAGATAAAAATGAGATATTTTACATTGTTTATATTATCTTCAAAATATGGTGTATATTTTACACTCACAGCATACCTCAATTACGATTAGCTACGTTTAAGTGCTCAATAGCTACAGGTGGGTAGTAGCTATATTACAGGAGTTGCCTCCTTATCTGCAGTTTTTGCCTCAGAAAGCAAGGTCAACTGATGTCCAAAAAGATTAAATGGAAACTTCCAGAGATAAAGAATTCATAAGTTTTAAATTGGGCGCCTTTCTGAGTAGCATGATGAACTCTTTTTGCATTCCTGCTCCATTCTGCATGGGACATGAATCATCCCTTTGCCCACAGTATCCAGCCCGTTAGTCACTTAGTGGCTGTCTAGGTTATCAGATCACTGTCATGTTATGGCAGCACTTGTGTGCAAGTAACCCTTCTTTTACTTAGTATCGGCCCCAAAGTACAAAAGTAGTGATGCCAGCAATTTGACGTGTCAGAGAGAAGCCATAAAGTGCTTACTTTAAGTGAAAAGGTGAAAGTTCTTGACTTAAAAAGGAAGGAAAACAACTATTGCTGAGGTTGCTAAGATCTACAGTATGAACGAATCCTTTGAAATTGTGCTAGTTTTGCTGTTGGACCTCAAACTGCAAAAGTTACAGCCACAGTGCACAAGCACTTAGTTAAGATGGAAAAGGCATTACATTTGTACAATAAGGTATTTTGACAGAGGGGCCACATTTATATAACTTTTATTGTAGTATATTGCTGTAATTGTTTTATTTTACTATTAGTTATTATTGATCTCTTACTATGCCTAATTTACAAATTATGCATTATTGTAAGAATGCGTGCATAGGAAAAAACATACTGTAAATAGTATGGTACCAACTTGGTACTATCCATGGTTTCAGGCATCCACTGGGGCTCTTGAAATCTATTCCCCTCAGATAAGGGGGACTATACACATAGGACAGTTCAGCTCTAGATATAAAAACAGTTTACAGTAAATACTTGAGGGTAGAGACGCTAGTTAATTGTCAGCATAAGAAAGCAAATTCAGGATGTGGGAAACTATAATAGGACAAATGAGCTGGTTTTGTCTCTCATCCACCCCTCCAAAAGAAATCAATGACATAAGGAAAAAAGAGGGACACTGTTGTAAAATAAAAGACTTAGGGGATTTAACAACCAATATAGTATATGGGCTTTGTCTTGATCCTGATTCAAATAAACCAACTACAAAAGAAAATATCTTTGAGACAACTGGGGAAATTTCACCCTGGATTGACTATTCAATGACATTAAGGAATTACTGTAAATTTTGTTGGGTATAACAATGACATGCCAGTTATGTTGGAAAAGAAAGTTATTATCAACAAGAGATGCACACTGAAATATTTAAGAAGAAATAACATAATTAGTAGCATTTGATTTACAAAAAAGAGGTGTGGGGGTAGACTGACCATGACTTGATACTACTGAAGCTGAGTTATGCATACATGAAGTTCTTCATATTATTCTCACTCTCTAGACAATTCTCATAATATAAAGTTTTTTAAAGAGCATCTATTTAGCCTAGAATATTGAATACATAACACAAGATCCTCTGAAGTTCCATGATTCGTCCTCCTTTGTATTATACAAATTAGATGAAAATCTTGATACATATAGATTATGATAAGAATAATAATTATGATAGTATGATAGTTGGAATCAGCCAAATTGGATTTTTCCCAAAAAATACCTAGAGGTCTAGCTAGAAGTGTTGGTAGTAAACAAAGTCCCTTAAGTTAGTCATGATCTACACTTTCTTATGTATTTCCCTTCTCTAACGTTCACATATTTCCTAGTAAAGTTAAAATATAGATTAGATTTTTTTATATCCTACAAACTTTCACTTTGGAAGGCTGTGGAAAACAGCTTACCCCAAATACACTGTAAAGTGAATTTTATCCTGGTAATTTTAAAGCCAAGTATTTACCACAGTAGGAAATTATATATGTATTGTGTTCAAACTACAGCAATTATTAAATATTCCTGTTTGGAAAAAAATAAAAAGAATCTGTCCTCTGTTCTCATTTTCCCTGAAAAGTTCTCCAAAACTACTACAGCCTCTAACTCAATGAGAAAGACTTTTTCTCCTGTTTCATTCTTACTTATGTGTCATTTCACACTCCTAATTATCCTGCTACCCTTCAAATCTTTATGTTACGTGTAGGAAAACTGTACTTTCTCACAGGAATCTCTACTTCAAGCAGTACCAATTCAAATAACATCCAAATATATACCTACAGTTTGCCTATTTCTCCAAACTCAGATTAAAATTGCCCAACAGATTAAAATTGCCCAATGCATATATCTGGAGAAAACTCTAATTCAAAAAAATACATGCACCCCAGTGTTCACAGTAGCACTATTTACAAGAGCTAAGACACAGAAGCAACCTAAATGTCCATCAACAGATGACTGGATAAAGAAGTTGTGGCATACACATACATACATGCGCGCGTGCGCACACACGCGCGCGCGCACACACACACACACAAACAATGGAGTGCTACTCAGCCATAAAAAAGAATGAAATAATGCCATTCACGGCAACATGGATGGACCTAGAGATTATCATACTAAATGATGTAAATCAGACAAAGAAAGACAAATATATGATATCACTTATATGTGGAATCTAAAAAAATGACACAAATGAACTTATTTACAAAACAGAAAGAGACTCACAGACATAGAAAACAAACTTATGATTACAAGAGGGGAAGAGGGGTAAGAGGAGGGGAAGGATAAATCAGGAGTTTGGGATTAGCAGATATAAACTACTAAATATAAAACAGATAAACAACAAGCTCATACTGTACAGCATAGGGAACTATATTCAATAGCTTGTAATAACCTATAATGAAAAAGAATAAATATTTATGTAAAACTCAATCACAATGTTGTACACCAGAAACTAACACATTGTAAATCAACTATACTTCAATAACAATTTTTAAATTAAAAAATATTGTCCAGATACTTCAATATACTACCATCACTTCACTTTGTCTCAAGCCAAATTAATTTTATTTCTAAATCAAAATCTTCCCTAAATTTCCCATTTTTCTTCTCCCTGACATTAAAATTCAAAATGTATCTTTTGACCCCCTTTCCATTGTTGACATTAAGGCCTGTCAGTTTTTTCCTTCACAACATTTTATAGCTTTCTTTTTCCTTCCCGCTGCCACCTCCTGAGTTGAGGTTCTCATAATCACGTAATTCAATAACTTAAATATTTTTTAATTTACTTTTACTATCAGTGTCTCTACTCTTTTAATACACTGACCACCACTACCAAATTAATTTTCCTTAACTATCACTCTACTTATCCAATCACCAAGTTGGCAAAACAAAAACAAAATGTTCACCAGGGTTTTGAAATGAAATCAAAACTCATCTGCTTGCTGTTCAAGGTCCTTCATAATCTAAAACCAATTTATATTCTGTCTTACTTCTTGTAGTCCATAAGCAAACACTCCCTATAGCTCAATTTGTGCTACTCAAAAAATTCTCAGCAGCAGTAAAGAATCACCTCCTCAGCTCAAAATACCCTCTTCCATGAAGGCTCTCTAGACATCACAGATATTCTTTCTTTAACTTACACAGCACTTAACTCTGTATACAGCTTACTGTATTTCAATCTTGTACTAACTCTTTAAACTATCTGTTCTACCACCTTACCTTAACTAAAAATTCTTTGAGAGCAAAATCAGGTCTAATTTTACTGAAGCATCTTTTCGGTATCTCCCCCAATGTCAATAGTAAATTTTATTCGTGATTAATGAATCATCTTCCTTTTAATTCAAGTGGTAGTTTTTCCTTGTTTTGCTATGAACAATTCTGTACACTTTTTAGTGGTTACGTATGTTTAGCAACCAATAATTTAAAAAAAATCTTTTTAATAAACTCAGAGAAAACCAACATTTAAGAACTTATTATGTACTGGGCACAGTTTGGCACTTTATCTCATTTAATCCTCACAAAAACCTAGTGGTTAGCATTCATTATAGGCAAAAAAAAAAACTGGAGCATGGAGATTAAATTTCTCTACCTTCTGTTGGTCCTTGCCCTGTCCTCTCCAAATCAGTCCAAGTCACTTTTTCTAAGCTGCTTAACCCTTTACTCAACTGATCGTTCGTTTTGTGTATTAAAGGCTCTGGCCTGGGTATTATTCTGGTGTTAGGGGTACAGAAGCTAAAAAATAGCTTATCTGCCCTCACGACTCCACCGCGCAGACAGGGGTAGACTCCCGCCTAACGAAAGGGAAATGCCGCGTCAGAAGCTCATGCTGCCTGCGGCCAAACGGGCAACACCAAAACCCCGTTTCCTCAAACCAACATTCTTCCACCCTCTTCGACATTTTTCTCAAATTCCTTCACTTCTTACGCCACTCAAGTACTCCCCACTTTCTCGTGGTCTTCAAAAGAGGATCGGGTTTTCCTTCCCCAGCACTGAGAGATGGAAAAAAGATACCTTGGATATCATCCTTACCCAGCCTTTTCCGCAGACCCTGATGGCCCCTTCCACCTCCCTTTCTCCTTTTCTTTGTCTTTTTTGGTTCCGGGCGCAGCGGTCGAGTCGTCCTCGAACACGCTGAAGAGCTCATCCCCGAAAGCGTCCGCCATTTTCCGGAGCTGTGAGACCTAATCTCCCTCCTACCCACGATGCTCCGCGACCGCACCGCCAGTGACGCCAAAGGAAGCCTCAACAGGGGCCCGTGGGAGACAAAATTAGTCAAATCACACGGCGGCTGAGGGTTCTTCCTTCCCTTCTTTTTCTCCTCCGATCTTTCCTTTTCTCTCCAAACACTAGTAGATGGGTAGCTCCGTGGCTAAAGAGAGTATGCAGCAACGATGCCGGCACACAGCAGACACCTAGAGAGACGGTGAGAAGGCGGGACCTTGGTGATCTGGACCAATTGCGAAGCTGCGGTCTTCTAGGCCCGAGAAGCCCGGATGGAGGACGCGCGGTGGCGGCGTGGGACCCGGGGAATGTGAAGCGCTCAGGAAGCGGTGCGGGAGCTGTTCCGGGACTTGGACTTGGAGGAATCTTCTGCCGCAGCTGCAACATGGGCAAGAACAAGAAACATAAGGCGCCGGGGGCTGCGGCTGTCCGGGCCGCCGTCTCTGCTTCCAGAGCCAAATCCGCCGAGGCAGGAGCTGCCGGGGAGGCCCAAAACAAGAAGCCTGTGGCCAGGCCGTCCCCCGCTGCCGCTGCCAGCACCAGGGAGCCCCGAGTCAAGCAAGGTATGAGCGGTCGGCCCCAGGCTCTCTCCCGAGCCGGTAGCTGCTAGTTCGAGGGAGAAGCCTTCGCACCTGGGCGGACCCTTAAAATTTGTATCTCCCACACCTGAAGTTGCTGGGTAGCATTGTTTAAATCAGTGTAAGCTGTTTGGGCCTCCAGGGTTCCGACCGTAAACCTGTTTTAGGCTGGCCTCTGGCACCCAACCTCCACTTTTTCTCCTGAAAACAAGACGAAAATTGCATTAGCTCCTGTTTCAGCAGGGATCAATTCTGAGCCATCATCTAAACTGCAAGGCGAATGCAGAGTAGTGTATGGAGTTATTAACCTGCTGGAGCCAGACGCATTTTCTATCTGCTCCTCAGACCGTTTTCAGCCACGATTAGTGTTTCCGCGTGTTCTGAAAAAATCAGTACTTAAGAAGAATTTTAGCACTTACAGACCGAATATAGGTATAATCTATTGTAAACTTATCAGCGGTCTTTACTGCAGCAGTGCACTTTTGCTTACTGTGCAGTGTGGCTTAATAACGAGGAGATTGCAGATTCCGGCTGCAGATGAACAGGACACTATAACAGCAGATTTCAAAAGATGAACAGTTACAGCTGTTTTGTTCTGCTTAACTTGTTTGCTTGTAGTTCTTACTGAAATATGCGTCTAACAAGTATTTATTGAAACCCACTGTGTATCTGGCATGATGTTAGGGATGGGATAAGAAAAATAGACAAGTTATGTCTCCTGGAGTTTGCCAGTCTAATGGCAGACACAGGCATTCAGTAATTACACAAAAATCGTTTTATGATTGATAAGTGCCACAAAGAAAAGCTAAGGAAGAAAATTTAACAGGGTAATCTAATTTTTGCTGGGGAGAAGGGGGTCATGGATGGTTGTTTTGAGAAAGTGACGGTTAAGCTGAGATCTAGAGGACGAATAGGTGTCAACTCTGTAAAAATGGAGGAAATAGTATTCCTGGCAGAGGTAAGGCACACCATATGCAAAAATCTTGAGTCAGGTAACAGCATGGACCTTTGAGATACTCAGAATGTAAGCATTGCCTAAGGAGGAGAGATGAGACTGAAGAAGTAGGCAGGTAACAAACCTTCAACTAGAAGGTACATAATAATTCTTTGTCATACAACTTACTGTTATGTTTTAACTTTTACTCTGTGAGTCAGTCTCTTTCTGACTCTCCCTTTGTCTTTTCCTGATATTTCTCTGAATTCTTTGAACTTTCTAATAGTCATATGTTGTATTCTTTGACTTCCCAATACCCCAGCCCCAAAATACGGCCATTACCAAAGATGTCAGTCGGTGGCAATATGGTCACCTCTCTTAAGCCCTTCTAGGAGAAGGGCTTCCTTTACTTCTTCTGTCTTTTCCTTTGTAGATGACTTCTCAATCAGCATGTCCAGTCTTGGTCTCTAGTCCAAGCTCAAGTGAGCCATTTCTACATTTACTTGGACTTTTGGCCCTATTTTGCAAGCATCTCAAATTTATCATGGCTAATACTGACTACAGTTCTTCTCCCCCAAACTAGTTTTTCCTCTGACTTCTTTGTTTCTATCTTTACATATTCTTTTTTATCCAATGTCAATAGTTATTTTGCCTTCCTTTCTTCTTCATATCCAATCTGTTGTCAAGCTTTGTGCAGTCTTCACTTATTTATCTTCCATGTATACTCTTTTCAGTTTTGGTTTATACTGTTCACACTTCAGTCTAGGCACTCATGAATTTCTGGAGTGTTAACACAGCCTTCTCATGGGTCTCCCTAGCTGTGCCCTTTTTTCCTCCTCCAGTCCTGCATAAAGCATCAGATTGATCTTTCAGAACCACTGTTTTGATCATTATCACTTCCTGGTTTTTCTCAGCATCCTTACTGACTTTGTCATAAAATACAAACCATGTAGCTAGTATCTAAACCTTCCTTTTTAGCCTTTTTACTAGTTCCTGTATTCAGCTAAGTCTGGTGTGTTTTTACTGCTCCAAATACAGCTGTTGGCTTTCTGCCTCCTTATGTTTATTCTTGCTGTTTTCTCTTTTTGGAATGCCATTTGTCCCTAATACTATCTACCAAAATCCCATAATACCCACCCCAGATGTCAACTACTTTTTGAATTCTTCCTGTATCCACAGTTCATGTATCATTGTTGTTTGAATCATTCTTTTTGATATTTAAATATTGACTATTGTATGGTATGGTATTTGGTATTAGATTTTGCCTATGTGAGGAATTATACATTTTACTTATCTTATAAAATTTTAGGAGGTAGGAACAGTTTCATGGATATGTATTAATATACCTCAGTATTTACTCAAGTGCTATGAATATAGTCATTCAAAAAATTTCTTGGATTAGTGACGAGGAAAAATTCAGAGGAATTATTAAGACCAAGAAATCAAGAAACAGAAAATGAGAGGTTATCTACCAAATTTGTAGGGATTTTTTTATAACCACGAATCAGTATATATAGCAGTATAAATAAAACGTAACAAGATTGACACTTGATTTTGTTTTCTTTTTCCTGTTTGGTTATTTTTATATGACATATAATAGGCCTGCTTTGAAAAAAAATGGAGAAGTACACAAAAAAAATTATCTCTGAACTCTTTGTTGTTCCCAATGTAAATATAATTGTTTAATCCATCTCTGTCTGTCTTCTCAAACAATTGCAGGATTGTGCATAGCGTACTTTCTCAAAATTAACTCCTGTCTAGAGGTAGAAAATGACTAGTGCCACAAAATGGCTGTTGGCACAACTCTGAGTAATCTTCCACTCCTGTCTTTTCATTTTGTTTGTTCATCAAATAATTCTTGAAGAGCTGCTGTGTACCAGGCAAGATTTTAGGCGCTGGGGATACCACAGAACAAAACAGACTGAGATCACTGTTTTCAAGAAGCCTACATTATTTGGGGCTGGTGGAGGGTGCTTACAACCATAAGGCTTGTGTTTGTGAAAATCCTTAAATCTAGTTGAGACTTAAAATCTTAAGAGGAAAATAAGACTAGGGGACTGATGTCATGAATAAACTCATTAAAAACCATTGTAAATATTTTTAAGGTCACCAAAATAAAACAGAAAAGGTGCATAAAGGTTAGAAAACAGTGACTTGATAAAGAATAAATTGGGCGGTGTGGTTTGGTCTGTTTTGGTTTAGAACACAGATGGCTTTTCTGAGGAAAATCTGCTGAGGTGATTGGAAGCAACCAGCTCTTCTATCTGGAGACAGAACGTTTGAGGCTTAGGAAACAAGAGCAAAAGCCCTAAGATGGAAACAAGCTTGGCATGATACAGGAAGACAAGAAGAAATGTATGGGTGGAGTGAGAGAAGGGGCTGGTGGTGGTGTTAGATGGGAGAAAGACCTTAGCAAGGGGACTAGTCAGGTAGTTCTGGCAGTACAGTCTTCCTCACCAACCTTAGAATATATCAGCTCACTCTCATTTATTCTCTAGATACCCTTTCCTTCCCCTTTATAGCCTATTTGGATAATAACCTGCTTAGTTACTCCACCAGTGTATGAGCTCCATGAGGATAAGGAATGGGTCTTATTTATCCCTGATTGGGTCCCTTGGCTGGTTTTGATCCCCTTTGCAGATGTATGCTGTTGGTCAGAGGGAGTCAGGGTGCCTCAGTGCACTTAGCAGCAGCACCTCAATGTGAATGTCTTAGTGATGCTGGGCCATTATAATCACTATGATGAAAAATGCAATACAATATAAAAGGAATATGTTCTAAAAGAAAGAGTATTAGGCAATGAGAAGTAGGTTCTGGTTGATGCTTTTTTTTAATTGGCTGAGTCATGTTGAGGAAATCACTTGGTTTTTCTTTGCTTCAACTTTAATGTAATAAATATTTTTGAGAGCCAGTTATACGTGATGCATTGTTTCATGAACTGTCATTATAAAATTTAAATATTTAGTGCTTTTGCCTTGGAGATACATACTGCACACCTCCTTGTTTCCAGTAACTCCCTCCATCTCAAACAGAAAACCGAAACTTACAGAGAAAAGTCTCTTAAGCAGCAAGAAAGATAGCTGTCATAAATCTTATGCACACTACTTGGCAAAAAGAATGGGAACCATCGTTGTTCCATGGCCTATTGACTTAGAATTGTATTTGAAAATAAGGTTGCTAATTTACAAGTTTCATTAACTGTTTTCTTGTGGTACCTTTACTTTTCCCTAGGTAATTAGAATCTAGGGGTGAGGAGCTATTAGGTTAGCATTCTGAAAGTTGGCAGCTGACAGGAGACCAAGAATCACCAAATAGAAAATTAGAGCAGCCTCAGAGAATTGAGTAGCCTCGGCAATCTTCTCAGCATGGTCATAGATATTCATAATAAGTAATGCATCATGAAAGGCTTTGAATTTTGCTTACTGTAATATATATTATGGCAGAAAATGTAAATACAATTTACAAGGACTTACATCAAATTATTTTTAAAACGCATTTGAAATTCTAGAGTTTTTGTTCATGCTGATTAAAAATCTTAAATGAACATGTTTTAGGAAGAATTTGAAAAATGAAAGGGCTTTACTGGTTTACTTGATTTAAATGGTGATATCTCTGTGGCAAGACTTATTGCTTCAGTTCCTCAG